AAAGTGAACCCCAGCTTGCAAACGTCCCAGCTCCAAATCTGTGCTGCTGCCATGTGGCATTGTAGCCTCGGCTTTTCCAGCAAAGCGCCCCCTAAAGCCTAAAGCCTCAACCCTAACCCCTAAACCCTAAACCCCAACTCCCCACCCCCCCCCACCCAAAAAACCCTGAACCCCAAACACCACACCAAAAACACTGCAAAGGCGACGCACAAGGAATAGCCATGTACGTTTTGTGTTGCTACTTGGCCCCTTAGCTCTTTTTCAGGTGACATGCTGACTGCGGATCTTTGTTCAGTCACTGGAATACTACACATAACCCTAGGGCTCCAAGTATACAAATAGTACCTACTTTGGGGTCTAAAGTCTACAAATAGTACCTACTTTGGGCTATTTGGAGCCCCAGGGTAAAGCGCAACAGAGATTCCGATGAATTCAGTGTTCTGACCCGGTATTGAAAACCGTGGCCAAGGCTAGGCCAAGTGCGGTCTCTCTCTCTCTCTCTCCCTCTCTCTCTGTCTCTCTCTCTCTCTCTCTCTCTCTCTCTCTCTCTCTCTCTTTAGTGAATCCAAATGTTCACACGGGCTTTTCCCAGTTGGGGTCGCGCAACTCGTAGACGCAACAATTTCAATCCGCCTGTAGAATCATGTTTGAACACGACCGGCTCGCTTCCCAATACGGGTCGCACAGCTCCCAGGCGGAAGTATTCCAGCCTCTTTGCTGACTCGCGTTGGCATGTAGCCGGTTGGCTTCCCAACACAGGTCACGCGGCCGTCGGCGGAAGTGTTCCCAGTAGTGCGCTAAAGCACATTCGCACACTCTAGGGTTTAGGGTTTAGGGTTTAGGGTTTAGGGTGTCTCTCTCTCTCTCTGTATATATATATATATATCTTTGTTGTTTTCTCTTTCTCTCTCTCTTTTTTTGTATATAAGGGTACAATAAGGATGTGCATATGCATGTGTATATATATATACACATACACACACACACACACACGTGTACACACTTTCACATACACACATGTCCAAGTACGTGTCTGTGGATGTAACTACATACACATGATGGTAAACATTTGCACAGAATATGTATACCCTAGTCGTCTCGGGGTCGCGGGACCGGAGGCCTTCACGCCAAGACCCTGGATCACCCCACAGAGCTACCCCCTCTCACGCATCCCCGCCTTTACAGCAGAAAACCCCTCTCACACATTCTCGCCTTTAGAGCAGAAAAGCAGAATCCAAGAAGCCTATCCTGCGAAGAATCCAATTGATGAGTTGGGTTCGCTACAAAGGGCTCAACCTTCAGATTGGGGATTCGGGTCTGAAAGACACATTAGTTTGCCTCCCAAGCAAACCAGAAGACAACCATCAACGGAATTGACCCTCAGCCTTGAGCTGCTGGTGAGATTAAGGCTGCTACTTAGGGGCCTTGGGGTTTGTGTTTATTAAACCAGCCAAAAGCATGATTCGTTGCAGCCGCGAAGCTGGAGCTGTTGGATGGGGCGCTTGGAGCGGGAACTGTTTCTAGATTGAGGATTTGGGATTTGGGGCTCGGATTTGGGGCTCATTATACTGAGCCATGCTTTCGGGATGTCCCGCACGACACTGGCAACCCATCGAGCTGAGACGATTCTTTTGTGGTTGTTGTTACTACCACCACCACCACCACCACTACTACTACTACTACTACTCCTGCTGCTGCTGCTGCAAACCCGAACTACGAAGTAATCACAAACCTCAACCTAGAACCCTGAACCCCTGATAAGATCATTCTGTCCGAAAACTAGTCTCGCGGGGGTTTCTTGGAGCAGGGCCAACGGCGATGCAGTTCAATCGTTTTTTCTCATGGTCGCGGGCAGCCCTCTTTCGGGCCGAGCTCTTGGCCAAAAGGGTTCGTTTTTTTGACATCATCGACTGGTACCGCGCACGGTTCATGACCATAACAGCATTCTCCAAAGTCCCCGCATTTGCCTTCCGCGCTAAGCCTTTGACCCACCTCATAGAGTCTTCGTCAGTAAAACAGTGGTGATACCTCGAGTTTTGTCCTTGGTTGTGAAATGGCCAGAATCATTTCCGTCCCTGCTATGGTTCGAATGCATTTGAAGTAATAACTCGCGAAACAAACAAGTTGTGCCAAGCAGCTGGTCCTTCTGGTCTCGAGCAACTGGTGCTCAAACGTGTGAAGTTTCGGTTTGATTGCCCAGGTGAGCTCGCCTTGCCTGAAGGGGACAATGTGCACTAATGATGTGGTTGAAAGTCTTTATAATAATAATCAGATACAGGGAAATAAACCTAGTTGAAGTGGCCTGCAGGAAATCCGGGTCAGCTCCAAATGAGTCTTGATAAACAGCATTCCTTCAGCATAGATAGCATTGGCCTGCACTTGCGTCAAGAATCGCGGCTGGCTTTCAGTCAAGCCAAACCATCGTGCCATGGCCGTCCTTGGAGTATTGCCAAACAAACAGAGACAGACTGCTTTATAATGTGAGATATGGCAAAATATCTTGAATTGTCTCTAGGTTTCAATCCAACAGCTTGCAATGGGATCTTCGGGTCGCTCGGAAACGAAGCAAGTTGTTGTTCAACTTTCCCAGCCAGCCAAACCCCAAATTTGCGGCCAGCACCCGTTGCAGGGGTACAACGTGCCGCCAGTCTAGAGACATCAGCGAGGTATTCAGTTACGATCCGGCCATTGAAAGCTTTGCAACTCATCGAAGGAATTCTGAGGCCTCCAGCAGCTTTTTTCATAACCTGGATATGTGCCATGGCAGAAATAATATCTAGAAAGATATCGGATCTTGACTATCTCGATAGCCTGATAAAGAACTTTAGACATATCATAGCAAAGGCTCCAAACCATATCGGAAATTCCTCTGATACGAATAAATCTTTCGCTCCTTGGCCCATGCCTTGAAGTCAGCGTGAGCACTGTTGAAAAGAGAGCCCAGCTCTCGGTCCGGGCTTCCGTACCAGCCAGCCCTTGCCAGCGTATACCTCAAAGTCTTGTCCCGCTGTCACTCAAACAATTACTTGTTGCTTTCATTTCCCAATACATAACGACATTGCCATAGCCACAAAAACTTGTACCTGCAAACCGGACAGCAATGCACTGCCATTTGCGGTGAATAGCAATCCCAGGTTGACATTGTGCATCGAACATGTGCGAATGGCGTCTAGATCAAAATTTGGTAGCAGGAGCAAGGGACCTAGGCATAATGATTTCGGCAAAGAAGATTTTAAACCTAGAAGCAACTTCAAACAGCACTGCTTGCACAATCCATCAAGAGTCAAAGCTTGTTGAGGTTTAGCTTGGCCATCATCCATTCCAAAGTGTTGCGATATATGGTCGTTCGCCAAGGGGCTCCGTCGCCGGTTTTATCATAGTACAAATCTTTCCTTGCACCAGTGCCTGTAGCTTCGCAAAAGAAGCACACTTTCGTCGACGACCATCCATCTTCGAAGCCCCAGATTAGCTTGTGCCACCACGAAGCTCGGTGACCAAAAACTTTGCTCCCAAACTCGCACCTGCATTCTTTTGACCTTTGGTCGATAGTGCCCCACCCATAAAGCCTGTTGTGGGGAATATCCCCTTGCTTGCCCATCCCATGGACCAAACAATCCTTCGAAAGATGGGGTACAACGTGTCGGTTCCCGGCAACAAGAACTTGGAACGAATCGTGCATATCAAGAAGCGACTGAGACGAATATTCTTTGGTCTGAACAGAACCAAATTCAGGAAAATTGCCAATATTTTCTCTTGAGATTCAGCCAACCCATATTTCGTCTCGTCAGCATAAATCCCTACAGGAATCGCATCGTGATCAAGTTGATTGACTGCCCAGCCCACATTTGCTTCAGCAGCTCGTCGCCAGTAGCTGCGAACAGATTCGGCTTCAACTGTCAAGTCCAACTCTGTGTGCACATAATGCAAAACATCATGGGCATCCAGGATTGGAATATCCATCGTCGTTATTTTTGCTTTCTTTCTGGGATCCTCTGAATCATCGTCATCACCGACGTCATCATAATCTAGTTTCACAGGAACTGTAACCGTCTTTGGCTCCTTAGGTGGAGTAATGGCCCACGACATAGGCATAACAAGCAGACGGACTTTCGAAATCTCCCAAACATCATTTCTTGCCGAGCAGCCAAAGACAAGGGGACCACTCTGAAGAAGTCTCGGGAGCTGTTCTTTTCGCACTGGTAGGATGCCAGCTTCTTTGTTCTCGAGGAGCAATACCCTTTGCTTTCCTGGTCGTGCAAAAACGTAATATGTACAATGGCTGGCATGCTCACAGAACAGAGGCAAAACCACCCATTAATGGATATGGACAAGGAGCCGTTGCAGTATTCCTCGCGCTTTTCATGGCTGCAAGAGTACTTTCTCCCTGCCAGCAAGAAATGCAAAATACCAAACACTGCCCAGCGTCATTAAGGATCTCAAAGCGGGGGCTCATTAGAGATAATTTGTTCAAGGCTCTCGATCACCGATCCTTTCCAAGAGCTCCTGCACCGTTCCAGAAACTTGGAGTTCATCTGAGTCACCTGCACAATGGTCTTCGGAGAAATTTTTATCCATCATGAATCTTCAGCTTCGAATGGCAATTCTTGCAAAGGCTATTTTGTGCACCATCGCCGAAACTGCATCGCGGCTGTGAAACCCTGCTCCATTTTCCAGAACTACGGAAAAGAGGTCCCAGTCACAGCACTAAGACACAGAATCACACCTCAAAGCGCTCTGTGGTTTGCGATTGTGCACTTGAGCAGGCTCTCCCGCTGGCACACGATTGATCAATGCTCAAAGAGTTGAAATGGATAGAGTTTCGCAAGCATGCCCCTGCTCGCTCCTAGAAGCATCCAAAACTAGTATCGCATCAGGAAGGGTCCCAGTCACCCAGAGTTTACATATGAAAGCCCTGGCATAATTAATTCCAAAGGCCTCGGAAGCATTCGTAGGGACTGGTGCTGGATGTCTAACCATGGAACCCTGGCTGACGACGATCCTCACTTTGTCTTTGATTTGGCCTCGGCCTTAGCCTTGGGCTTGGCCTGGCCTTTGATCACACTGGCAGCTTGCTCGAACCCGGAAACTGATGTCTCCAGATTCTTGGTCAGACGAGTCAAAGTATCGTGCGACTCCTTAGCCATTGACATTCTCTAAAGAAATAATTTGGGCCGGCAGAACGTTCGCTTCAGGGTGAGTCGTGCCTTCGTGTCCAGGGCCGCCTGGAGCTCGGTTCGTGACTTCTTCAGATTCTGCTCTGCATCCTGCGGCTCACAATTTAGGATTCGTGTGGGTTCTCGAGAATAGGGTATTAGTCGTTTGGGGTTTTTGCTTGGCCTGATTCAAAACTTGGAGTCACGATCTGCTAAACTGTCGAATTTCCACATTGCAGTATGTTGCGGGTGTTTCCATGGGTCAGCTCTGATTGAAGTATTGGGGGGTATGCAAAGATTCACTTCATGAAATCCGTTAGTATTAATTTGTTTGACAATATCTCATGGACCTGACATGAACTACTTGCATATTGGAAAGATCTGTTCGAAGCTTTGGGTCTTTAGACCGAGGGCAACAAAGTTCTAAACTAGAAGATGATAATTAACTTGAGGTTGGGGCGCTTGGCTTTAGGGTTTAGGGTTTTACTTTTAGAGCTTTGGGGCTCTGGGTTTCGGGGTTTTAGGGTTTAGGGGTTTTAGGTTTAGGGCTTTGGGGCTTTTGGTTTAGGAGAATTTGGGGTTCAGGGGTTTATGGTGTTGGGGTTTGTGATTTATAACAAGAACTTGGCGATAAGTTCGAAGGTTTCGGGCTTTCACCTTTTGCACATTCCCAAGGCCCCTCAAAATGAAACCCAAGCTCCTCCAAAGAACTTTAAGTCCTAGCAAGTGCCCCAAGGTTCAACCCTGCCACCCATGGTCATTGCTCCATTGTTGCTAGGGTTGTAATCCCCCACGAGGCTGGGCCTTCAGATCATTCTCGGCTGCAGCTCGAAGATGCTGGGCCCTGGGAGCGGAGACATTTGTTGTAACAAGAAAGATGCTTTGGACAAGCCCTAAACCTCAAGCCCTAATAGAAGCCCCAACCCTCATCAGTGCAAGTCGTGGCAGCATAGACCTTCAGAAGCTCAGTGCGGAGCAATTCGGCACTCAGTGTATCGAGGGCCACCTTCTCCTGAATCTTCTTCCCGGCTTTTGTGATGGCCTGAGGCATTGTATCCGGGACAGCTACATGTACGATATATTTGTCGCCGGCCCAGTCGGCTTAGTGCAGGACAGAATTGGCTTTGGAGGTTGCTTGCTTCAGCTGCTGCTTCGCAGCTTCGTCTTCATTTGGGTCACCTTTGCCTTTCGGCTTCTTCCCACCTTTGCCTCCCTTCTTGACCTGGCAGGATCTGGTCGGTTTAGGATTTAGAGGTTTAGGGTCTAGGGATTAGGGTTTTTTGTTTAGGGGTTTAGGGGTTTAGGGGTTTAGGGTATCTTTGGTACAACAGGTTGTAATATGTTCTCTGATCTAGAACACATGTTGCTATGTCGGCCTTCTTTTGTTTCTTTTCTTTCTTTGGTTTCTTGGCTTTCTGTTTTTTGTCTTTCTTCTGTTTCTTGCCATTGCTACTGCTAGCGGATGACATGGAGCTACCCGAATCGTCTGCTTCGGCAAGCTTGTAGAGCATCTCCATCACTTCCTCTTCCTGATCAATCTCGACCTCAGAATCGAAGATGAGGAACTGCATCAAGTCGATTGAATCAGGAAGATCCGGATGCCTCTTGACTTCCGTTGCACAAAGCTTCTCATCATTCAGCTTCCGCAAGATGATGGGCTCCACATTCTCGGCACCAAACTTGGTCGCGATTTCGTTTCGAAACATCCAGCGTCTCACACCCTTTTTTTTCGACGAGTTCTTTGTCTTGCAATTGATGTAGAGCTGGCTCTTCTCCCAGTTGCCCCCGCAGTTCAACCAAGCTTCGAAGAGCACACTGTTTTTCGTGGAGTCTCAGTGACAGGATCACATGTTCAAATGTTGTGCATTACTTAGTAGAAACCACCACCTCATGAGAGTCATCAGCCCAAGAGTGGCCCGCACAAAATATGAGCATGTGTCGCAAGGTCTGGCGATACTCCAAAGGTCAGCAACTTGGGAAAGGCCGGGACCACTGATTGCAGCCGAAGTAGCCACCCTTGGCACCTTGACCCATCTTTCTGATTTCCGCAGGGGTCTTCTTGCATTCTTAGTGAAGCGTGCACAAACATACGAAAGAATAGCTGAGTAGCAATGCTCTAGAGAACATGTTCACATACATGCATGCAATAAGATAGAACATATTTCATATGTCTCTCAGCGCACTACGTCACTACAAGGCAAAAGCAACAAACATGTCTGTCATGGTTAACACATATAACCTAGAAGCTCGGGGCCCCCACCATGCACAGACCTCCAATACCTCATGTATCTTGCGTGTGCAGCTTTCTTCTTCTCAACTTGTGCGGCGGCCTTTGCCTCTTTGGTATCTTGTGTCTCCTGCTTGTTGTCTGTCTGTCCATTCTTGTCTTCTTCCTGTTGTGTCGCGATGGTATTCTTGGTCTCGGGGGCTTTGCTTTGACTCGGGCCTGGGCTTGCGGTCTCCTCAGCCTTGGTACTTGGTGAGCTCTGCTGGGAAGAGGGCGGAGAGTTCTGGGGTGTGGCCGTGGTGGGTGTTGGGATGTCCCCTTTGTTCGGCGACTGAACCTCGGCAAACTTTTTGTCTAAGGCAGCCTTTGGCAAGTCCTGATCCGCAAGTCGGTCAACTGTATCTAACCGCTTAAACACAGCTGCCAGCTCCGAGTCCAGGCTGCCCGATTTCTTGTAGGCCGGGGTGGGTGTCTGGAGACTGTCCTGAGATAATCCTCGGGCATAAAATTGCTGAGAATCATCAGACCAGGACCCAAGGCTTCCCGACCGATTGCGCCACTGGAGGTGCTCCCGGGACACTGACTCATGATCCCAATCCTTCTTCCACCAACCAGCACCCCAAGACCAATCACTCCAATCACCGCAAGAGTCCCAAGCTGTTGAGCTGGACCAGGATTCTGGCCACGTGTGCCCATCATTTGCATGATGGTCCTGAGGTTGCTTCTTGTCCGGGCTGTCGTCACTGTTGTCTTTCAGGGTTTCTTGTTCCTGGGGCTCTTTCACGGGAGCATCGTTGGGAAGTTGCGCTGGCACTCCCTGCGGATGATCCTCATGAGCTGCTTTCTCACTAGCCACTTCCTCGGGAACCTGTTCGCTCTTCGCTTCGTGGGTGGGCTGATGGCCCGTGCCTTTTCCCGTCGGGCCTGTCTTGGGCTCGGTGTCCTTCCCATATCTTTGGAGCTTTGTGTCTTCCCGGTCCTGCTTGCCGTCCTGCTTTGGGGCACCAAAACACAACAGCACAGAGTCATGCCTACGATGCACATGGTTGTACATGTTCATTCTTGCATGCACAGGCAGCGCTGGGTGAACTTTGAAGCAGACACAGGCCAGTGTCCTGCATGATGTCCCATTCCTGGGTCTCTTGGGTGTCTGGGCTTCGACCTTGATGACCTTGGCCAGATAAGGGTCGGGGCTTTGGATTGATGAGGGGGAGAGGTAGCTTCAAGGCCCGAACAGAGACCCTTGCCGGACGACCTTATGGCATAACACGAGTTCGCACCAATTGAAGGGATACTGACTAGCATAACAATTTAAGGCTCAAGCTTGAGAGACTTTGGAGTCTCAGCAACATCCGTCTTCGCTTCCATCATCTTCCTAATTTTGGCCTGACGGCCTTTGGCCTTTGCAAAGGCCTCCTCCACAGCCCTTTTGTCCCCCGGCATAGCCCTAAGCAGCGCCACTGTATCCTTGAAGCTCAAACGGCTCCTCTAAATAAGTACCGAGGAGCAGACAAAGACCCAATAGGACCCAGCTGGACGGCTTTATAAGACACAGTTTCCGAGGTGTCAGGTTTCACGCTAGTTTCACGGGTTCCCGGGTCCTTCTCACGGTATTCGGGGGCCTTTCACGGAAGTTTCACGCTACTTCACGCTATCGGTCTTTTACGTGTTCAGCAGGAAGTCACGAGTTGGTGTCGTGAGCAAAGCAAACCCCGCAGCAGAAGCCTAATTCTGTTCCCGATGTGCCCTTTGGAGCAAGCTTGGTGTCAGGAGGGTACTGGATGGGTCTAATGGGGGCCAATTGCACTAGTGGGAAGTGACTAAGTAGAGTCTATTTGTATTGTCACATCGGGCCTCAGGCTAGTGTTGGGGTCCTGGAACAAGCAGCCTTTCACTACTCGAGTCCAGAATTGAAACTGGGCTTGAAGGAGCCATCCTTTACTCTATCCAATAGGAACTGCCTGAGCTCAGCCAGGTCCGCTGCAGACCAATCGTGCGATGAGCGAGCCACCTGCCAGGCAGATGTTGGTCGCAGTGGGTCAGGATGTACTCATATTTGTTTAGGGAAACTGCCTGCGGTACTTTCTTTGCTTCATAGAGAGCACTTGCAACTGCTGCTCGCAAATGCATCTTGTGGCTCTCCTGCATGGGTGCATCTATCTAGTCTGGCAGACTTGCAAGCTCAACCGGTCCTTGAATGCAGTGTGCTCCGAGTAGACCTTTCTCGCATAGCCACGTGGATAAACTTGACTCACCTTCAGCTTGTTGGAGCCGTACCTGGGCCGAAAGTCTGATTGGAGGTTATCGGCGGGAAGCAAACGACCGCTGCTGTATATGGTGTGCCAGATACTCAGCATGTTTTCCAACCGAGGCAGCTACACCTTCTCCACCCCATGCTTGTCATACTTTCGTATCACCATACCCACGGAAGATAGATGTAAAGCTCGTCGTCTTTTGCGCGTGAGCTTTTGATACAATCGCTTTGTCCATGGCCTGTGGCTGAATGCAGCAGAATCTGCAGCTAGATTGAACGGCATCCCAAAAAGAAAGCCAATCCAATTGATGCATCTTCTCAGGTCGCTGCACTATGGACAGTGCCACACTCCCCTTTGGAGCGAAGTGGCCCCATGTTCCCATCCAACTGGGCAGCAGTCAGGTTTAGGGGATTTCTAATTGGGAATGAAGAATAGGCTCGGGGTGGTATATAATTGGGTTCACGTCAAGGGTTTCAGAGGCTCGGCCTCTAATTTTGTGCTTTGGGATTGTCGCCTGGAATTGAAAGTTTTCGACTTCGTGGGTTTATGTGTTTGTTGTTTTATGGTGGAGGTTTTGGGGTGATTGTCGTAGGGAACTGAAAAGCGTTATCGGCTTCTTGGGTCAGGAAATTTACTAGTGTTTTAGGGAAGAGTGTTGAGGTGATTGTCACTTAGAAATTAGAATTCAGGAGATTTGCAGCTTCCTGCGTAATGGCCAGGGCTTTGGCGACTTGTTTTGGGATCCAGTTGTTGAGATCGTTGATAACTAGACGAAATGTTTGGCAGTTCGAAAAAGAGGGTTTACGGCTTCATGGGTTTAAGGCCTTGATGCTTTAGGGTCGAGTGTTTGGGGCGGTTCTGTGTTATAATACGGAACTTAACGTGCTAAGGCCTTACTATTTCCCGATGGTCAAAAATCTAAGTCGAACCCCAAACCCCTATTGACAAACCTGCCGGATTCCCAGACACGATTAATTACAATGTACTTCCACTGCACCATCCAGGGTTTGCGGGCTTCTTAGGTTTAGGGTTCAGGGCTAGGTAACACACGAACTGTGCCTGGGGCTGTGGCAAGAATTGCCTCCGATACCGGAGACCCAAAGCTTGCATTTGTTCGACAAGGTAAACCCAATCTGGATGCACAGGAAGCAGGGATGATTTGGGCTGCTCCACCAGCCAGTAAACGGATCTCGCTGTCGCGAGAAGGAGAAGAAGTACGGTTCGGGTCGTCAGCCTGAGCTTGAAAGCTACTTACACAACAGCTTGGCACACACGACAAACAGACAGCACACACGGCAAACAGACACAGGCTTCCTTGCATGTCAGAAGACGTGTTGGCTTCTTTCACGTAATCAAGATGGCAGTTGCCCAATGGACGGGCACTGGATCGGCCATGGGTTCCTTGATTCACCCATACATAGGATGTGCATGGGAGTCCGGCAGAGATCAGGGAATCGCTTTCCAACCGTAGAATTAGACGTACTGCGCAAAGAAATCCATTCCTGGGCAGCACTAGGGTTTGTGGGGCTTCGGATTTGAGGCTCTAGGATTTTTTATTAGGGGTTGCAGGTTTGTGGGGATTTTAGGAAATTTCGGCCTAGGTTTGCCTGTTCAATATGCAGCCCAGCAGGCACAGTGCGTAGGTCATTGTGATCGGGCCGAGCAGCGACATCATAATAGGCACTGCACAAATAGCAAGATACACGAACTGGACAACAAGCACGAGTACAACCTGGCCTTCTTTCGTTATTGGCACCTCGGCAACAAGCTAGTGTGTCAACTTACTGGCAAGTGATTTGAGGTCCCAACAGAAGTGCCGATAAAGATTAGCTTGTCCAGAAAAGAAATCCAGGAACTTCAGGTCCTTGCAAGATTCAACATATGTTCTCAGCCGCACAAATGGGAGGTACTTGGATCTCAGTCACTGGCTCGTCTTCCAAGAGGCGAATCCATTGGAGTGATCTGGGCCATAAAGTCGCAGCAGTGAATCCTAAGGCATGAGGTGTTTGGAGTATCGGTGCTTGGGCTCAGGGGGCTGATCGAGCTAATTCCATATGTCTTGACTTTGGAGAATCTCAGAACCTGTTTGCATTGGTCTCGGTTTGGGTCTTCAGAAAATAGGTTTGTGGGTTTGTGGTTTGGGTACTAGAAGTATGGTTTTGGCAGAGATCGGAGGGATTGGGGTAAAGGTTTAAAGCTTGGGGGTGGGCTCCGGTTTAGTTGTGTACTAATTGTTGTACTATTCAGAAATAGGTTAGTTACCAAGTAGTGCGAATCTCAGGGATAGGATTTTGGGAACATATTACATATCTCATACTCAGAGGCTGAGATCCCAGCAAAATCAGAGGCACACCCATTAGCCGCAAAAGCATTGATGCGCAAGGAGAAAGGGCCAGGGGCGAGCTCTGGCCTCGATCAGCCTTCATACCGAAGGGCCCCTATCGCCTAGCTATTTTGCTCTACCTATCTTCTAAGCAAACAAAGCCCCAAGACACTGGATGAGCCAGCAGGTTGCAGTCCAAGGTTTTGCGACCATGTTCCATGCTTGCGACACATATTCTTGCCGACAAATTGAGCAGGCATCGACAGAATTTTGCATCGAACGTTCGAGGCCCCAAAATCACGGCAGTGATCAAGATCCCGTGGGCTTCCGTCTTCATCTCAGACTGATCAGTCACGCATTCACTCATGACTGATCGGGATCCACCCGGCGATCATTCGAGCCGTCCTGTACCTGCACACAGTATGCAAGACTAGGATAAGGATTAGAGGCTCGAAATGGCTCCCCCAACTCCCAGATTAGGCAGCAGACGTGCCCACGATATTGTTGTTCCAGTGGAGAGTCACCCCACCACAGGCATTGACCTGAACCGGCAATATTGCAAGGTTCTAATTAGTAGGACTCCATCAAAGGATATGATTCACCAGCCTTGTAGTTCATGTCGTGCTCCTTGTTCACAGCCTGCACCCTTTTTTCGGAAGCCTGATACACATAGAACCGGCCAGTCAGCAAAACCTGCAGACTCGAGGGGCATTTGGCATCCGACTGCGGCGGTGCTCGCATCGTCCAGCCCCCAGCCATTTCGAGTGCTGCCCTTTTCGGGTGCACGAACTGCTTCACTGCTGTCTTCAACATTGCAACCTGCACCAGATTGCGCCGCTTCGTAGCCTGCCATGTCGAGCGGGAGCAGCACAGTGTAAGGTTCAGGTTTTGGGTTGTAGGGGTTGCGGTTTTGGGCTTTAGATCGTTTAAGACATTTATTTTGAGCAGCGGGTCTTTGGAAAGAGAATGGAGCCTCAGGCAAACCACCCTTCTTCTGCTTTTCTGAGGGCTTCTTGACTTTTGCACTGCGGGGCGAGAGGATCGGCATCTTCAGGGCATCCTCCTCCTGACAGGGCTGAAGACATGATAGTATTGAGTCTGTAGCAGAAACAGATTGCATGAATGAGAGCCCCGAAGATTAGGAAAAGGCCTTCTTCTCTTCATCTGTAGAGATCTTATCATCGCTCGATTCATTATCATCATCCACCTCGTCGGTCTTACTGCTGCGGCTTTCCTCATCGCTCGAGGAGGGATTCACGGCTTGGGCTTTGGTTTTCTTACGGGGGCGGGGGGGTTCCGCACTCTCATCCTCGTCATGGGTTTCCGCAGGCGCCTCTTTCCTGGAGCTTTTGGCTGGGGCCTTTTTCTCCTTTGCTGGGCTTGAGAACATCTCCTGAAGCTTTTTCTCCACCT